GCCTTGCTCTGCTTTGTCATTATTATTTTCCTTCAGGATCTTTTTTCACTATTTACACTCCATTATAGGTGCCTTGGTTACCTTTAATTTTGTACTAGTTTCTTTTGTTCTAGTCTTCTAAGGTTCTCCTCTTTTACTATACTACAGGATTGTCTGCTTTGTGCAACAGTACTGTTAATTGTGATCATTGTTTCTTTGATAATCCCTGTGAATTGACGATGTAGGGTGCTACCAGTATGATTAACTTCTATGTGTATTTGATGACTGTTGAAATTTACCTTAATACACATTATGCAACTCTTCAACNCCTTAAGGGGTAACAAGGTCACTGTTCTCTTACTCCAATGAATTCCTAGAAATTTTGAAGAATTCCTCAGAATTCTTCTATGTTGGTTTACTGTTATATCTTTGTCTGGATTACATGGTAGGTAAATAAGAAGGATTAGTTTGTCTCTTCTATGTTTGTCTTTTTGCGTTGTAAGCTTGGCTTTTTCATATTAGTTAAAAGCAGCCCAAGATACTGTGTAGTTTTGGCGGGCAACTTGCCAGGACATGTATCTGTTGTAAAAGCATCATATAGTTGTTGATCATTTGTGTTCCTTACAGTTCTCATTAAGTAATGGATCGCCTCCTCGTTCTGCACTTTTCTTGTGTGGCCTGCCCTCTATTTATGAAGAAGTGTTCAATAGATATAGATAGAGTATTAAACTAACTCTGTAAGTTGTCGATATGCAGCATTGGCCTTTCTGCTATATGCCTGGAGAACTGTCTTGTGGGAACTGTCTAATTGGAAAAAAGCTGTGGGTGCTATCTTCCGATTTCTTGGTTACATCCCGAAACTTGCATTGTTCTTTATATACTACTTCATAGGGGATCAGATCACAGCTGTAATTAGATTTATTGAATCAACAATTTACTCCATTCGAGCTTTCTACTCTGGTGTAGTTGCATATGCACCACTTCAAGAGCTGACAACAATCATAATTTTGGCATCTTGTGTACTTGCCATTGCTGAAGCGGCTGTTCCAGATTCTGTGAACAGCCAACCGTACCTTCTTACAGCAGCTGGAATAATGGGATTCGCTGCTGTGAGAGGTTATATCTCTGAGCTGTTCTTTTGGTTTCTACTTGTGGGCTTGTTTGTCTTTGCTCGATTTATTAGAAAAAGAGACTATGTGTCTTCCGCATTGCCTGCTGCAGCTGTATTAGCTGCTGTGGGAGAGCCTTGGATTAGAATGGTAGTAATGGTTTCTTATGCTGCTTTGGCCGTTATGCAACATTCTACGATGCCTTTGAATAAAAGTGAAGGTGAAACTACCGGTGCAGTTAGGAAGGTCCCGTTGCCTCTGATATGTGCTGCATTGGCCATTGGCGTTCGACTTGCTGCAAAATGGGCTGGTTATCGGCATTTGACTTGGATGATTGTTTGATATGCAACAAGTCTGCCCCTTGTCCGCGCTGATAGAGCATTCTTAGTTGTTAGTTTCTACAGTGGCAACATGTTTTTTCATTTGGCAAAATTGCTGCTTCTTTCTCTTTTTTGCCTGTCCAGTTCTTTTGTACAACTTATCTTTTACGGAGCTTATTTTTCTTTCAAATTATGTTCTAAAATCCACTGTAGTTGCAGTTTTTATTGGTTCTTTCTGTTTCCTTTTATACATGCAACTACAATGTAGAAGAGGCAAGACACTCAATGATATTGGCTATTTCAGATATGTGTGCGATTTTGCAAGAGTGGCGTGGTAAAAAACATAAAATTGTGAATTTGATTGAAACTTGTCAGATGACTAAATTTTTGTTACACTGCAACTAACCTATTTTACAGCAACGTAAATCGTGATTAAAAAAAATCAATACATCTAATTGAAGTCATTCAGTAAACAATGTAAGTTGTCTTTCAAATTTTAATTAAATCGTGTTCAGAATATAACTTTTAGTTGGGAAAGGTGTCAAAGTAATTTAACTTTGTGAAATAGCAGATTTCCCCATTATTAATAGTTGCGTCACATTTATCTTGTCGTTACCAAAATGGGCTAGATTGTTTATATTGGTTAATGGTAGAAGCTTTCCAAAACGTGGTCCTCTATTATAAAGGAAAAAAATCAAATTTGTCATTGAACTATGCGAAATGATGCAGATTTGCCCCTAAATTTTGAAGATGATCACTATTTCGAGAGGACACCACTATTTTCTTCAACACTTATTTCTATCCCCAAGCTTAAAGAAACCACCCTCAGACTTTAAATAAGTCCAAATGGAGCTCAAACTACAATTGTACGACCAAATCTAATCCTCAATTATATCGGAACTTCATCAATACAATTCCATCACTAATCTTTCTTAGATCGCCAATAGCGATGTCAGAGCTCCACATCGACCTCCTAGTGCTAAAATAAACTCAGGCACAAAGAAATCAACTCCTAAATCATTTGCAACAGAAATGTGGTCTTTTCGTGGAGGTAAAATAGTAATTAAGAGTCCCGAAGGGACGACCCAGTTGGGTTTGGAGTGCGATATCCACACGGATGACGCCGGTTCGAAACTAACTCTATGCTTTTCTGGGTCTGAGTCTGTTGTACGGGACTTGCCTAGTGCGGTTTACATCCCCTGTGTGGTTTGCAGGTTACTACATAGTGGGGGTTTACCCATTACGCACAGAGTGCTCATCCAAAGGGCAGAGACTGTAGCAGCTGCAAATTTTTCTGGGATTCCAAAAAAAAATAGTAATTAAAAAAGTGATAAAGATTAAAAGTATGACAGTGTTTATTTGAATGAATGATTTTTGTATGAAAATTATTGTTGTTCTTTTTTGGAGTGTCGTGGGAGTTAGAAGCAGGCGTGGAGTAACAATGATCTTCACGTGATGTTTTTAAAAGTGGAAAATATTAATCGTTATAATGGTGATCGATTTAGAGGGATGAAATATATTGGTCGAAAGAAATAGTGATCAATTTTGAACAATTTCGCAAAGTTTAAGGGCAAGTGTAGATCATTTCTCTTAGTTCAACGAAAAATTTGACCTTTTTCCTTTTAAATGAAGGTTCACATATTGAAAAATTAGTGAATAAGCACGAATATAAACCACTTTTACCATGTCAAGAATAGATTTAATAGGATTGCACAAACACAAGGCAAAGTGCAGCAATAACTACTTTTAAATCTGTTATTTAAAATATATTCATAATTTACAATGTATTTAAAAATTAGTCAATTCACTCAAACTTCAGAACTAAGTATTCTGAATTTAGAAATTCAGGACTTAATGTTCTGAAGTTTTGAGCTGCTAATTTAAAATTCAGGACTAAGTGTCCTAAATTTATGAACTACTAATTTAAAACTCAGGACATAAGATTCGAATTTCTGGACACAATTTTCGAACTTTAAGACACGATGTCCTAAAGTTTGAGCGAAATTGACTAATCTTTAAATACATTGTAAATTATAGATATATTTTAAATAACATGCTTAAAAGTGGCTACCTGGTGTCATTTCCACACAAACTTAAAACTCCGTGGTTGGAAAAAATAACTAGCACAATCTAAAATTTCAATATTTAGAGTAGACAATAAAATTACTTAATGGGCAAAATACAAAACTAGTAGGTCGACAGAAACTAATTGTATTTCTTATATAAAAATGTATAAATTTTTATACATATATATAATAAACCTATATACAAAAAATATATATTTCTCTTAATAATCAATATATGAATTCATATTCCTACATTTTAATTGTGGAATAGAAGAGCCCATTAGCTTCACAGATCCAGAACGGCGCAATTAGGGTTTCACTGACCCCCTCCTGTCTTCTATAAAACTAAGCCACAGCTCTCCTTGTTATAATACCCTGCCTCTTCTCCTCTTCCTCCAATGGCGTCTGTAATAATCATCGGAATCACACCCGAGCCTCTCTGACGCTCAACCGAGCAAATGCACCTGTTCAAAATCACGATATGAACTTTCAAATTATTGATCTGAGGTCATTTACCTTTATCTGTGCACTTATTTTTCTCTTTTCATTTCAGCTAAGTAAATTGTAAGTCTGCACGTAGCCTCCCGGGCTCGTCTGAGCAATTTTTACATGAAGTTAGCAGCCCCAAAGCTCGTGCTATATCTACCGCCGCTAGTGTTGCAGTTTAGCCCTTTTGTACCTTCTTTACCCTTGGCTTTATCTGTGTCAAAATCAACGGCTACATTAAATCCTCTTTACACTATTTCTATGTTAATTTCTTTTTTTTAATTTAACCAAAAAATGCCTCATATCACCTTTAGCTTATTTTCTTCTTACTCTGTGAAAAAACTAAGCTAGTCAACGAGGCTGAAATTAAAATAGCAGTGTCAACGTGGGGTTTATTGCATTTTTCTTACTGTTTTACTCCTAAGTCCACTGCTATATTGTAAATATTTGTTTTTCTAATTTGGGATTTTTTTAATGTTGGCTATGATTTAAAAATTTATCCGCGCTTCTGAGAGCAATCTATGAAGTATACGATAAAATAATGGTTGAATTTCTTAATATGAGCCTATGTTTTCTAATTTTTTCTTACTATTAAGTGAGTTTTTGACAAAACAAAAATTATTCAGCTTATTTGGTTTTTGGCAGTGATGATATATAAATACAGCTTTAAAGCCAGTTCTGCTTCTGAAATTCCGTGATTGATAGAGCTGTTTATTTCTCTGAGCCTCAATTTCATTAAGAAAATTACGTTTTTCACATAGTTTTGTCTTAATTTATGTGCTTTAAGTATAATTATTTACGTATAAAATGTTTTATTTATTGTTATGTTTAGCTATGTATACAAATAGTTGACCTGTCTTAATTGTACAAGTGGTTGAATTTGGATAAATGTAACAATTTTATGATTTTCTTGAATATTAAAGGTTGAGAAAAATGTTTTTAAGTGTGATAATTAATGGAGTATTGTTTATTAATTAATGAACGATTGATGTTTTGTTAATAAGAGGCCAGTGATGTATGGTAATTGTCCGTACCATATGAGGAGCTTCACGGCTCCTTTGATTTTAAATTTACCTTAATTTCTGAGGCCTCTTTAATCTTCCTCATTTTTCCTTATAAAACATTATTGTTCAATAGGTGACTAAAGTAATATAATAGCATTATAGCTAGTAAAAGTATTGTTTTTTATTGCTTAAACCTTGGCAGAGTTTGGCAGTGATGCACAAAGCATCTTGCGTTCATGCAGGCCCTTAGTAAGGGCTTGAAGCCGGGACAACTAAGAATTATACTGTTGCTCTAAGGCTTATTGTCTAGTTGCTGATGATGATATAATCTATTTTATATGAGGTGTAGTGGATCCAAGTCCCTGCTTTTGCAGGGGGAACCTCTTGGCGAAACAACATTACAAATGATCATATTGGATTTTTCTGAAGCTATAATTTTTTTAGTTTTTTCAAAATGGGATTTTCTTTCTTGCTGATTTCTTAATATGCTGAAAAAATGAGTTTCACTATACCCTTGCTCTTTAAATGTGGATGTAGGGTCTGAAAAACTCATATAGTTAAGTGCTGTCATCAGCTTCTTCACTTGTACCAAACATGTTTGGAGTCAAATAAAAGCACTACATTTTTTGCGTTTTTAGTTCCATCTAATTTCCTTTTATTTGTTAGAGTTGAAGAAATTGTGATTGTTTATTATTTGGAGTTGCGATTGTTGACTGTCAAATGTGCAATATTATTGTAGTCTGATCAAAGATGATCAAGTATATCTGATACAGTTTAGGACCATATTCACTATTTGATGATTAACAAAATATGATCATCACCTTTTACTCTTTGAGCAAGTAGTGAAAATGGTTCTAAATTGTTTTGGACATACTTTATCCTAGCCGATGTTGGAGTATTTTGAAGGATTAAGACTGCTTCTGGTACCTATTTCTCTTGTACTTTTGTTGATTATTGATATGTCACCTCTTATAACCAATCACAGCACTATTGAGTTCCAGTGCTCTATGTCACTGTTCCCCACATGCCAGATTTGGTTAGCAGCCTTGATTAAGTACAACAAAGAAATGTGATGAACAATTATCAAAGATCAAAGGATCTTTGTGTGATGATTAAACAAGTTGCTATCTTGCATGCAATTGTATCAATTGGCCCTTGTGGTTTCAACTAGAAAAGCTTGCTCAACACACCCATTTCCAGATTAGTACTTGTGTATTATGAGAAAATACTCCAGAAGTTGGCAAAAATGTCCATACGCTTAAAATTAGTCTGATTCATTACTGTAATGTATAAGAAAGTGTGTTTCTGAAATGAGACGTTTCTTCTTGCATTTTGTTTGAATTGAAAAATGAACTATGATACTATCTTTTATTAATTTTGACTAAAAAACTGTACTATAGGGACATTAATTTGAGCATTGGGGCATAATTTTCAATATATTTACCAATACCATAGTAAAAGTCTAATTATATAAGAAATAGGCGAGAAATTATAAAAATGTATATTAAATTCACAGTTATCTTTCTTGCTGAATAAAGTTAAAATAGCACGGCTAGTCAGTTTTCGGACTGGTCATTGAAAAATAGCCAGCGTTTGCAAAATCATTGAAAAATAGCCACTATTTTGCTGCAACGGGGACCGGTCCAACATGGCATATTGGAGATCAATGCACCTGTGTATGAACTTCCAGCATATTATGCTGGAACTCCAACACGCGAAAAGTTCCAGCATAATATATTGGAGATTGGAGTAGGACTGTGCACGGATCGAATTGGATCTGATTTAGCCTATTTCAGATTCGAATTTCGGATTTCGGATTCTGAAAAGGGCAATCCGAATCTGATCCGAATTAACATTGGATTGGATCGGATTTTAAACTTTGGATCGGATAATTTTTCGGATTGTCGGATCGGATTGTCACAAAAAATTTCAACAATTTAAAGTTCATTCGGTGTCTCTATCTTATCTTCCATCTACCAAAACAAACAAAAAAATCAAAATAAAATCAAAAGTTGAAGAATAGAACATGAAATAGACATAAAAGACAGAAGAGAAGAGAAGAGAGGCGGAAGAAAGAGACATAAAATCAAAGTAAAATCGGAAGTTTGAGTCATTGAGACTCTTTTAGTCTTCACTGAAGAGAAGAGAGGTGCAAGAGAGGCGGAAAAATCTAAGTGAGTGAGGGTGTGTGTGAAAAATGAATAAGCATAACCCTAAAATTTTAGTGTGTATTTATATAGGTACATATAATTTCGATATCGGATCGGATCGGATTAAAATCATACCAATCCGAAAATCCGAAATTTGAAATCCGAAATCCGAAATAGAGTGGATCGGATCGGATTTCGGATATCCGATCCAAATGCACAGCCCTAGATTGGAGCACATGTGTATGAACTTCCAGCATATTATACTGGACCGGTATATTATACTGGAACTCCAGTATATTATGCTGGAGTTCCAGTATACTTATGCTGGAACTCCATTATAATATACTGGAGTTTTAGTATACTTATGCTGGAACTCAATATAATATGCTGGAGTTCCAGTATACTAATGCTGGAACTCAAGTATATTATGCTGGAGTATTTTTCGGATTTTGAACAGTGTTTTCATTCAGATTTAGTGACTAAATTTTGATTACTTTTGAAACTGTTGCTATTTTAAATGACCACTTGTAACTATGGCTATTTTCGAATTTCTCCCCTGAATAAATGGTATTTATAATAGTACTAGTAAGGGATAGCCCATGTCACGCATGGGCCCAATAACACTATTACCTAAATATTGAAGCCGTGAAGATGTGTGTGCTAGAGTTAGACCGAGTTCATCTTCAAAGGATACTAAAGTCATAAGGGATTATATAATAAATTGTCAGTAAGGTCCAACATTAACAGCTTGTTTGCATGATTGTTGCTTATTGTGTTAGTATCGTATTGTTACTTCAAATACAATGTTTATTTTGATTATTACTTAAATTTATAATATCATATCGTTAGATCTGTCGTTATGTAACGACGAAAAGTGATTATGTAATGATCGATTTGGTATGGTCACATTGTTACCTTATTTTTTTCTTTTCTCTTACCTTTTTATTATTAAATAATTTTATTTTAATTACATGTATCCTCTCTTTTTGTACAATAATTCTACCCAAACCTTACTCTTTTTTTTTTTTTTTTTTTTAATAAAAATATCTTTTTCCTAAAGTTGAAGCATAGAGTTTAATGTTCTTGTCGTTTGTTTTTTTTATTTTTGTAGATCCATCAATGCTCTCAGATCCCAATTAAAACCTTCTTTTCCTCGCAATTCTTCTGTAAAATTTAAGGTTTTTTGCTTAATTTTTATAAATTTATTAAGATACTGTAAATGATTAGGAAATACGTCTTCAATATCATTGTAAAGAACTAATACTTCCAACAATATCACACTAAATTTGCACCAAGCTAATCGCGTTGTTTGTTAATACTTCATTTTAAACTATAAAGTTAATCAATTTGGATCTTTTACATATCAGTATTGTATGCCTAATTCATTTTACCTTTATTATAAATTATTGAATAAAAAATATTGTTTTTTGGTAAATAAAGATATTTATTACCAAGTTGTAAAACTGTACAATGCCATACTGAACTGGCTATCCGGAAGATTGGGCAAAGCCCCCAATTCCTAGTAATGTTTACTTCTTTGGAATAGTCTTGTATTACTTCTAGAGTATTAGTTTTGTATGTTAGTTTTATTTTGGCAAAATACATAATTTACCCCTTGAACTATAGACCAAATCCCCATAACATATGTTTTGCGAACGAAAATCACTTTACACGCGTAACTTTTTCAAAGTCTGTCTAATACACCTTGCCTTTTATTTTTGATAAATTTTTATAATCTATTATTACAAAAATAATTTTCTTTATTCCAATAAATACCTTGTATTATAATATTTTTGGACATCAAACAATTAGTTCAATTTTTTCATCCACTAAAGTGTTGTAAAATAACTGCAAGTAATATAAAAACTTGCAGACAGAACAATAACAATTTTTTTTTTGGAAGGAAATGGAAATTGATGTACTTTGGGTGGAACATAGCTGCAAAAAGAGAGCACAAAAGAGCTGATATAAGCCATTTGATACTGTTGGAACAATTAGAAATATAAACTGTTGGAACAGTTAGAAATATTAAAAGAGGGGTCCACGTGATCGGAAGTTGCAATTTCAAATGCTCCTCTAAACACGTGGCATAGGAATTGAGGTTGGCCCCTATATTATCACCAAACTCAGCAAATATGTATAAGTAGGGGCGGCAAACAGACCTGTCGGGTCGGATATAGTTCGGGTCGAAAACGAGTAATGAAAAAATGAATCAATTATTTTACCTGACCAAAATTTATTACGGATAAAAAACAGGTTAACCAGCGGATAATATGGTTAACTATATTATCCATGACTTCTTGCATATGATCACTTTTGGGAGAATTTTTAGTCACTCTAACTTGAGGAATCCCCAATTTGAGGCTTTACAAATGTAAAAGTTAGACCCATTGATTATCCATATTTGACCCGTTTTTAAAAAGTTCATTATCCAACCAATTTTTTAGTAGATAATATGGGTGATTAACTATTTTCTTTTAAACATTTCGTCACCCTTATGTATAAGTGATAGAGCTTCAAGTACTGCAGCTGAAAGGAGATAAACAACAAAATGCCAAAAATGCCCTCACGATAAGCAGGGATGTTGACCGAAAGGTGTCTGCTAAACTCTCTCCTATAGAATAGTAGAATTTGCTTAGAATCAAATAGGAAATTTAAACGAGCCAGATATAGTATTTTTTAAGTGAAACGGATTTTGCGAAATTCTTAATTATATAAAAAGAAAATTTCATGAAGAAGTATTGACTGTTTCCTTTCGGACGGGACACCACGTTTCATGCTCGCAGGTCCCGATAGACAGATTGACATTTCTCTTTGTAGGCTATCAGTTCAGCGGAAGGTGTTGGTGCACTCTACTTGCTCCGGAGTTGCCTATTTGGTCAGTATGATTTGGACATGTATTGATTGGTATAGGGGGGGCCTGTCCCGACCTTTATGATATGTATGTACTCTTAGAGATTTGTAGACGGATGTCATGTATATGAAAGATTGTATGACCTTGTCGGCCTATGTTCAGTGTACGAGTGTTCATTTTGGTCTTATAGAAAGGTATATCACATGTATAAGTTTGTATTACATGTTGAGTCGTCTTATGTCAAGTAGTCCCTTATGTTTTATTCTAATTATATCATGACGGCCCTTCCGGCCCATTTACCCATGATGATATGATAAGAAAGATACGTTACGTTGGTACTCGGTTGGATAAGGTATCGGGTGCCAATTGCGGCCTTCCAATTTGGATCGTGACAAAAGTTGTATCATAAATTATAATGACAAAATGAATAGCGATGAGTATTTCATAATGGGACAAAAAAGGAAAAAAACCAAATAAATGATTCGATTTATTACTTATGGTATTTTTTAAGGTCAGAAATCTAAAATAATTTAGGATTAAAGTCCATCAAGTTCAAAATAACAATGATATTCTACTACATTTTATATATGCTATTTAAGCTAAAAAATAATAAATTCACTTATGTAGTAATACGTTCTACTAAGTAAATTGACTTCCGCATGGACTTTGTCATAACTCACCTCGCTTCAGTTTATATGACCTTATTATTTTTAAACTGTAATAAAAATAATATAATCACTTTTTGAACTTAAAAGTCATTTAACTTTATACTATTATTTTATTCTTTATAATAAAATAATAGCCACGCAAATTTCGTACCATGTTTAATAACTAAATTTTTAATTTTTTTTTTTTTTTGTAAACTCTTAAGATGTGCCACATGTAAACTAGGATAACAAAGAAGATTTCATATATTAAAAGAAGACGACTTGATAAACTAATTTTCAAATCCTGAGGTTTGGACCAAAAAGAGTTGACATTCTGTTTATAACCTTTTCAGACAACTTCTGATATTCACTTTACACTAACAATACTGAGAAGGTGTCAATCTTGAAACAAATTTGATCAGCGTTGCAAAAAAGAAGAAGCTGAATTAAAGAAAATGAATGGTTTTACATATCTGACCAGATTTCTTAGTAGCCATTCTTCTTACTCTAGACTTCTGCTTCTCTCTTCTGTCAGGTTATGTATTCTGTTTGATCATCACTTCATTTTCATCCCAAATTTGTGAATTTTAAGTTTGCTTGCTGATTTTTCACTTAATTCTTTGTTTATTTGACACTCAATGTTGTGTTTTTTAAAACCTTTAGTAAGGGTGTGAATTGTGAAGAGGATTTTGCCGTAACTAGTAAAGTTGATGCCATGTGACCGGGAGGTCACGGGTTCGAGCCGTGAAAATAGCCTCTTGCAGAAATAAGGCTGCGTAGAGTGCGCACAATAGACCCTTGTGGTCCGGTCCTTTCCCAAATCTCGCGCATCGCGGGAGCTTAGTGCATCTGGCTGCCCTCGCCAGTAAGGTGTGAATTGTGTGAAATTGCTTTTGCTAGATTCTTTATATTTGATTTTCATTTTTCTTCTACTGTTTTTTTTGCTTCAGTTATCCTTTTTCTGGTTGTGGTTACTGCTTCTCTTTTACATGTATTCTCCTTTGCCATATTTCCTTATCTAAACTATTGTGATTATGCTTTTCTTGAGCTGAGGGTTTATCGGAACAGGTTTTCTGCCTTCATAAGGTAAGGGCAAAGTCTGTGTATACACTACTCTCCTCATACTCCACTTGTGAGAATATACTGGGTATGGTGTTGTTTTTGTTTGTGTTTTTCTTCTGCTCTTCTTTTTGGGTTCTTGATTTTGTAGTGAAGGAGAATTTGTTAATTTATATTGACAATTGAACATATTTATCCTCTTTTTCTACCTTGCATTGAAGTTTTTCATCGAAGTCGGAAGTCTCTACTACACAGAGGTCGGATCCAAAATATAAACTTGATAAGTCAACCTTTTAAGGTTTTCAGTATCGAATACATTGTACTTTTGAATATACTGGGTCCAAAATCTGATATTTGTTGAAATTTGTGGCTTTTTCAATTGAAAGTATTGGTTTCAATTGAACCCATGAATTTAGGCTGCATATACTCTTAGGCGCAACAAAGGTAATGAAAGGAAAAGGACAGTTCTTTTCAAGTTAAGCATCAAAATAAATAGGCAAATAACAGGATTGGTGTGCTTTTTGACAATTTTTCTTTTAGAATGTTGAGTTGTATATTATGATGTAAGCTCTTGAAGATCTTTCTTTTTAATTTTTGTGGAATATAGCTCAAATAAATTTGATGAAGGGAACTATGTCCGATGAATTCAAAAGTGGGAGCAGAGTTTCTAATGATCCATGCTTGACAAATAACGATATCTTTTAAGAAGTTAGACATGAACTGGTTTGATTTTGAATACTTCGGTCTCTTGACTAAGATGTTCTTTCGGGTTTGTTACATCATTGTCTGCATTTCTTGTAGTTTTAGGTATGTTCCTCTTAAGTTGCGTATGAAGTGAGTTATGTTTATAGAATTCACAGTGGGGACAAATGCTTATTAACAGTTCCGACCTACTAAATTATACATAATCAGAGTCCGGATTCAGTGAAAGCATTGATGTTTAGTGAATCAAATGTCGTGTTTTTCTCTCCCATATTTGATAGAGGATTTTGCTTCTTATACTTTTCTGCTGGTTGTTACAGTACTGGAGGTCTATTGGTATATGCAGAATCGAACGTAGAGAGCAGAAAACAAGTCGTCGAAGAGAATCAATCAGTATCAGCGAAGAAGAGAGTAGTGGTGCTTGGAACAGGATGGGCTGGTACCAGCTTCCTAAAGGATCTTGACATTTCTTCATATGATGTTCGAGTGGTTTCGCCGCGTAATTATTTTGCATTTACACCACTGTTACCTAGTGTCACATGTGGAACAGTTGAGGCACAAAGTATCGTTGAGCCAGTTCGGAACATAATAAAGAAGGTAAGACAAGGTTTGAGAGAAGTCACTTGGAGCCAATCTGGATCTCCAGTTCTTGTTTTCATGTCATTTATAATTTTATGTTGTACTCACAAGATTTGGTATGACTGCATAGCTTTGTGCACTGCTTCAGTGCTTCTTAGAATGATCCTTTCGCCCCTTCAATGCTTCCAAATTCGCTTGGTTTATCGTTCTTTTTTTCGATTGTTCTAACCTAGTCTGGAAATTTTAACTTTTAGTATATGCTAAGTTTCTTCAAGATCTTGCTTTTCTAAAAATAATACAGTCAGACTTCTCTATAACAACATCGCTATATAATATCTGTTCACTATAAAAGCCAAGTTCTTTATGGAACCAATTTTTATGCTATTTATAATATATGTTCTCTATAACAGCACTTCACTATAACATTCAAAAAACTCCGGAACAAATGAGGTTGTTATAAAGAGGTTTGACTGTATATATTATTATAGTTCTCCTTTGAAGATTTTCTTTCTGTTCCTGTTTAATTTATGTTATTTGGTGTGGCAGACAAGTGGAGAAATTCAGTTTTGCGAAGCACAATGTCTAAAGATTGATCCAGAGAACAACAAAGTATTTTGCCGCTCCGGTATCAATGATAATTTGGTGGGACATAATGATTTCTCCCTACAATATGACTATTTGATCATAGCAGTGGGAGCTCAAGTAAATACTTTTAACACTCCGGGTGTCATGGAACATTGCCACTTTCTAAAGGTAGGATTTTCTTCCATAAAGATCTAAGTCGCTCGGACTCGTTACTTTCGTTGCCGCATCTGTGTCTGCACGATGTGTGTATGGATGTGGATCTGGGATCCGTACCAGATCTAGCCATTCGATTTTCGGTACTTTGACCAAAATCGACGGAGAAATTCAAGACATATATATACAATGATTTTGAAATCAATACAAAAGCTAGGGTGAAATTGAGAATAAAAGAGAAACTTTATGCACTCTACAAGCACCATGTAAGTTTTCCACATAATGTTTCATAATTTAGCATAATCTTATAACTCTATTTTTAGATATTTGAATTACTTTTAGCCGAACCCCCCGCACCCATATCCATACCGGGATCCGTACCCCGAATCTTGTTATTAGATCATGAAGGATCCGATCCCTAGATCCGCACCAGTATCGGGACATCCGCACCTGAGTTTGAGAAACTTAGATAAAGCCTATCTTGACTTAGCTGTAGATGTGTGGCATTGCTCCTGTTAGAGAGGGTGTCTTTATGCATTTTGAACCTGATCAGGTTGTGACATCTCATATTTTTCTTGAGATGCTAAATTTTCCTTGTCTGAAAATAAATGAATCATATCTCGTACAGGAAGTGGAAGATGCTCAAAGGATACGGAGGACTGTAATAGATTGTTTTGAGAAATCTGTCATTCCCGGCCAAACTGACGAAGAGCGAAGAACAAACCTCCATTTTGTTATAGTTGGCGGGGGTCCAACTGGAGTGGAATTTGCTGCTGAGCTACACGACTTTGTTCATGAGGACTTAGTAAGAATATATCCATCAGTTAAGGATTTAGTGAAGATCACACTTATCCAGTCTGGAGATCATATCCTGAATACGTAAGATGCAACGATTCCTAGCTAGATTTATTTCTAGATTTACTTTTCCACTGATTTTAATGCATGCTATAGCCTGTTTGTCGTCAAGATGGTGTTGAAAGATTTGAGACTAAGGAAGATAGACAGGTCGGAAGAGAGCACAATCCCTTATGTGGGGTTGGATGAGGAAATGGTGTAGATGGTTTAAGTGACGAAGGACAGAGGACATACCAAAGCTTGATTCTAGTTTGGACCTCCTATTCGGTGAGAAACTTATAAGTCGCGATACAACAGCTTGATCTTGAAGATCTAGTGAAGATAAAATGGTTCCTTAGCATATGAACATAGTTATCTGGTATCTATGCTGGTGCGGGGTAGCAGGTACTCCGGTAGAATAGTCGAGGTGCAGGCAAGTTAACATCCTACAAGGTGTCAATGGTTATTGAACAAGGGAGTATGGGAAGGTAGGGAGCGGGACAGAACGAAGAGCGAGAGTATAAATATAGTGGAAGGGGGCTTTACAGATCACATAGTAGTGGAAACTAAAAGATTTACCTAATATCAAATAATGAGCTTACTGTTATTATAATTTGCATGCACTTCTATACTAAAGTATAATTTCTTGCATGCAACACTTCAGTTAATAGAGTATAATATCTTGCTTGCAACCCCTCTAAAATCACAATTTTGTGTCTAAGCAGATTTGATGAAAGAATAAGCTCATTTGCTGAACAGAAATTTCAAAGAGATGGAATTGAGGTTATGACAGGTTGCCGCGTCATTAGTGTCTCTGATCATTTTATCAGCATGAACGTAAAATCTACAGGAGAACATGTTGAAGTACCCTACGGAATGGTTTTATGGTCAACTGGAGTTAGTACCCGACCATTTGTGAAGGATTTTATGGAACAAATTGGCCAGGTATTTTGCATTCCCTTTTGTTTAACTCTTTCATGAGTTGTTCTGCACTAAATATAGCAACAACAACAACCCAATGTAATCCAAGAAGTGGGGTCTGGGGAGGGTAGTGTATACGCAGACTTTACACCTACCTTGTGAATATAGAGAGACTGTTTCCGAAAGACCCTCGGCTTAAGAAACAACAAACAGGAAGTCGATGCTTAAAAGTCGACTAAATGCTATGCTTAAAAGAAACATTTGTTCTACACTAAATGCTGTACTTAAAAGTCGATGCTTTTGCCTGCCATATTCTGAGATAAAAAGTTTCTGACCTGCAAGAACTGCAAGTTTTAATTAGTTATGTCGATGTAACTTTCATTTTCCTCTTGCAGGGTAAAAGACGCGTTCTAGCAACTGATGAATGGTTGCGAGTAAAGGGATGTAACAATGTTTACGGACTTGGTGATTGCGCCACTGTAGATCAACGTAAAATAATGGTAAAGAAGCCTTAGTTCAAATAACTGTGCTGAGATATTTTATCAATTCTTGATCTATAGTATAATCAATTATTGACCTATATGGTATAGTCTTTCTAGTAAATGCAGTACCAAATTTCTATTTCCTTTACTCCCAATAATTATTTTCATGGAACTATGTGGTTTAGGAAGACATTTCTGCGATTTTTAGAGCTGCGGATAAGGATAATAATGGAAGTTTATCAGTTGAGGAATTCCAAGATGTCCTGGAAGACATAATTATTCATTATCCTCAAGTGGACTTGTATCGGAAGAGCAAACATTTGTTAGAGGCGACAGACTTACTCAGGGATTCAAAGGGAAATAAAAGAGAGGAGGTAGATATTGAAGGGTTTAAGTTAGCCCTTTCTCATGTCGATTCACAGATGAAGAGTCTACCTGCCACTGCTCAGGTACTTC